GCAAGGGCACCAAGAAATGCGTCACACAAAATAGTAGATCAACATTATGAAGACATAAACGATGGAAGTGGATATGTAAGAAAGAAAAACAGTAGGAATGGCATGATTAAAAAGGCAGTCCAGTAAGGTACATTCAAACGAAATATTCATTACTTTCCAGCAGCAGAAGATAGAGGGAAGTTACAGCATGACCGTCATTAGTCTCGATTCTGACCCATATCTGATAACATCTCAAGCCTGTGAGTTGCGTGATCTCTCGGACCCCACCCAGAGAGTTCTGGTTAACCAACAGATACTAACCTGATACAACTATCCTTCATCCCACGGCGCCACGTCATACACTGACCACTCCTCTGCTTCTAAACATCCAGTCCCAGAGTTACCAAATAATGAACAGTATGAAAGCCGTTAGCATGACATGCGTGATACATGTTGAAGCCACCGAAGCCAATGTTCCAAGATCCCAAAACACACTGTCGTACTTCAGAATTACTTTGACAGTGTTGCCACCGGATACGAGCAATCCCACGGAGACAACGATGATCGAACACACACAGTTGTTACACATCCTCAGCTTGGAAAGGCCAGGTTTCACAAACGTAAAGCAGAACTGTTCACGTCGAAGCGTTGTAAGCCCAACCTTTTACAATCAGAATAACACGGGGACGGTACCAAAGGTGACCCAGATTGGTGTGTGCCACACTGGCATTCAATATGCGGTTACAAATATCATCATACACCTCCACCAGCACTCACATAACTACCCAGATACACGAAATTTTCAACTACTTCCAACGCCTCACCACCAAGAGTGAGCGCTGGTAAAGACTTCCTGCAAAAGTACTTTGCATTTCGATAGTGCAAAGCACATACTATATTTACGAACCCTAATCCCCAACTGATTAAATCCAACTTGAGTAGCCTGTATATTATCGCACAGTAAGACGATATCCTCCGCATATTCAAGGTCGAATAGTCGTTCTCCAGGTAGTGGATCTACACAACTACCACACACTTCCTTCAGAGCTGTCTAAAGAATGTCATCGACTGAAAATTGAAAGAGGGATGGAGAAGTCGGGCAAACCTACCCAACCTCAATGCTGGTTTGGAACAATGCAACAGGTGGTTGTATGCTCTAACTCTACCTCAGGTGTTAGTGTTATTATATAGAGATTTCAAGATGTTAATAAATTTTCAAGGCACACTCATCTCCAACAGGAAATTCTGTCCAACAAATTGAAGACAGTCTTAATGTCAAGAAGCACAACGACTGTTGCTTTGTAATATGTGTAGCGATGTTCAAGTATCTAGCGGAGGGTAAATACATGGTTAAGGCATCCACAACTTGATGGAAACCCAGTCTGTTCCTTGAGAATCATTTTGTCATGTGTTCTGCAAAGCCTGGGAAATATGATAGCATCCAGTATTTTCGAAGTGACTAGTAACAGACCAATACCAATACCTCGATGACTGTCACATACATGGCATAGACCCTTTGTAAAGATTGGCACAATGATGGCCTCATTCCAGAGTGATGAAAAACTCACAGACCCCCATACCTTCTCAAACAATCTAGTCAGTCCCCTGATGAGAGTCATTCCTCCATCCTTAAAAAAAGTCGGGATAAGTTGTATCGACCGGGTACCTTGTGGCGTCTCAAAACTTGGAGTTCTTTATGAACCTCCGCTTCGTTAGGTGAGGCAATATTAACTGACCATGGAGCACGATACACTGAAACTGAAGATGCTGAGGCAGTGGACCAGCCAAACTGCTTTCCGAAGTGCTCCACCCAGCATTCCAGGTGTCTCTGATGATTGTTTATCGGAGTACCATCTACCTCACAGACAAACGTCTCACTAACACCTGGCTTCTTGCTGGCATTGGCTCAGATGAGCTAGAACAGCTTCCGACTACTACTGGGTGCGGCTTCTTCTTCCATCTCATTCGTGCATCCTGACCACCAAGCCTCACGGTCCTTGCGTAAGCATTGTGTAGTCTTTCGCATAAGAGACTTACGCAAACCACTGTACTCACCACCCACCGGAATTGTCCAACAGGCATCAAGAAGTTGCAGAGAGCTCGCGCAAACCCAGTGTTTGTTAGCAGGACGTCCTTTCCTGCTGCAAGCTGCTTTGCTCGCCATTTTTATGGCGTCTTGCAAGTGCAGTCAATGCTCGTCTACACTTTCTGGAGGATCAGTAGCCAACCTTAAATCTAGCTCACATTGGTATTTAGCTACAATGTTGGGTGGAACTAATTTGTTGATTGCAATGTGATCTGTTTCAGTCCAGGATTGAGTGGCAGGGGGAGGACGCCAAGTAGCGCAACGGCGATGACTGTCCTAGAAGTTTATGCTGACTAGAAATAGATTTCCACCCACCCAAGGCTTCAGAAGACAATCCCCATTATCAGACCTGTGGCCAACTAGTCCCACTGGCCACTTAAACGACTCTTCTTGGAGCCTAGATGCCCGACCTGCACATTCAAGTCCCCAAATACCACTACGATTTCTGTCAAGCGCACTTGGTATAGAAGGCCAGTCAGTTGATAATAGAATTCACCTTTGGTTGCACCCGGACTGCAATCCGTCTGAGCAAAGGCGGAGATGACAAAAAGATATCGTTTCTCTTACCGGTTTCTTCTTACTCCAGACGAATCTTCTAGCCTGACAGCACACAAGCGAATGTTGATGGGGACCTAGATGAGTAGTGCAGCTTTGAACTAGACGCTTAGTGTGACACTGATACCAGCGAGGCCGGTTGGTGATGCCGCAGTGTCCTCGGATAAGCGCACATGAAACAAACTTTCCCAGTTGACATGGGGAACTTATTCGAAGCAATTCACTGGGATCTTATACGCGGGTCTCTAAGATGCAGCACATATCAATAGCGACGCTTTCCAGAGTCCTAGCCAAACCTGTCTATTGTTTGATCTGCAACGCTGAGAGTGGCCAGTTTAAACGATACGGGTGGTTTCAGAATAGCTATGTCAGATATCGCACTGAAGAACAGCTTTATAGGAGCAACTATTTAGCCACTCCAAACGGTACACACAGACCAGAAGTCTAAACAGTGGAAAGCAGCTGAGTGAAGATAAAGAGCAAAGTGAAAATGATAATAATAAAAAGATACATTTCATACTAAAAACAAAAAGCAATATAATAATAAATTGAACCATTGGTTATAGTGTTCTGAATACAGAAGGCTTGAATATGTGCACGAAAGTTGGGTAAGCGGTTCGAAATCTTCGTTGTATACTTCAATTTCGTATGTTTTGTGAGGGCTGATATACTGCACGGGCGCCCAGAGCAAACCAAGTTCCCAAACAAGAACAGTTAGTGAACCATACGATTGCTACGCTGATCTAACACCCATTGGGCCTCAAAGTGGTTGCCCCGACCAATCTATCAACAGTTTTCCGAACCATCTTGTTAAAATACGTGTTTTGGAGAAGTTGCCAATAGTTCGAGTCCTGATTAAGAGTGAAAGCCATTTCAAATAACAGAGAATAAAGCGCATACCACATATTAACCTGAAACTGATAAGGTCTATTCAAACATTCAGTGATAAAATCAACTATGGAAATGTACCTGACAGCTGTACTGTGACTATCGGCCAAGTATGCGGTCCCACTATACCAAGCTTATGTCCAAGTTCCATCTTTATAAGATTCGTTTCTGACACGTTTCCAAGGGTAGCGCACTTCTCTTGTACACCTAAATGATCAACTACGCAAATCAGAGTGAACCCCACGCAGACAGATAGCGCTTGTGTCACTTCTCTTGGCTTAGTGATGTGCAGAAGAAATCGTGAAGCCCAGTACAACTGGCCTCCACACATCACGTCACCACCTGGCAATCCTTAGAGATATATCTAAAGATCTGTACTCTCAACTTCGCTTCTTGGTCAAAGGGACAGAATTTGTCACATATCTTTACTCTGTGCTCTTATTGACAGACAGGACACTTTTTATTACTCTCATGCCTGATTGGATTGAGTCACTTTCTCATTGTAAAGGTAGGATGCCTTTGTTGGTCTCCAAAGAACACGTTCTTTGAGCCGGTTTGTGACAGCTAGCGATTAATATTCTTCACAAAAGAAACGAGATGTTCAGATAGAACTTCTAATCCACTGCACCCTTTCTCAAATACTACATGAATTCCATTCGTCTGCATTTGACAGGAAAGTCGCTGAACGACTCTTTTGATTACTGTTGAGCAATTTGCTGAGGTTTCATAAACCATATTAACTTAAGCGATCTCATCATTGAAACCCCCCTTACTGCCTTTCTTAAATATACATCACCATCTCGTACGGTTCAACAATCAATTAATTCCTTCGAGAAATCTTCAATATCATCTAAACAAGACAACTACTTTTAGTAGATGCTTAACCTTTTAGAGTCTAACATCCTTTAGGAGAGACAAACATCCCTCAGTAGCTTTTCTGATCTCACCAGCGCAGCAATTAATTATGCATGACAGACTATATCATCTGTGAGATGGATCAGTATATTTATGTTTGAAAGGGCTCGCAAATTTCCATAGTTTTCTCGACATGCCGTCAAACATGATTATTTCTATCGCTAGTAATCTCTGTTAGGACTTAGAAGGACTCTGTGGGTGAAAGTGGGTTCTGCACATCGAGTCCCTATTTAACTAGTGGTTATATATCGCTTCACAACCCTGCATTCATCACTAAGGTCAAATGACAGGGCAGCGCTCATACAGGAGGCACTGTCGTCTTTTGGGTCTTCCCAACTATTTTCCAAACCCGACTACCTAAAAATTAGTTGACTCAGACAGTTTGCAAAACATTCAGTGATAACATCAAGCAAAACCACCATTGATAATGATGAACTGCCTAGACAAAATAAATCGAGGTTTGTGAATAGGACAAAATGTACGACAACACCAGCTATACTGTTGAAATATGTAACATTGGGATTGCCTAAAAGCTAGATAAATCAATGAACTAAGTGTAGAATAGAACAACATGAAAAAAACATCTTGAACCATTTATTTGTCAAATAAAAAACAAATTATGAAAACCAAAGTGATAAAAGTTACTGGTGAAAGACATCAAGTATATAAAAAAAACCAGAACTTATTATACAGTGATAACTGAATAGCTCTAATTCAAAATAGCTTGCCTTGGTGGCATTGGTAACCTCTGGTGGAAGTTCGTCAACGATTTAGGTAATTCAATTTCATTATTCGAAACCGAATTATGACTTAAGTTACTCAGAGATTTGCTAAGTGATGAAGAAAATGACTTATATACATCTTCTTGACTACTAGGAGAAGTAAACCCAACACTCATCTCTTCTTGATTCCATTGTCTTTTGAATTCGTTTAATGTTAAATTCATATCACACAGTTTTTTATTCGTAGAGACAATTCGAACAACAGCTACAATTAACGTGATACAGCCAGCTAAAACAAAGGGAATACCTAAATAAGATATCGATAAGTGAGTGATCAATCTTCCATCAACCAGGCTGACACAAATACCTATTATAATGGGGACAACACCCAATAGAATAGTGCATAGGCTTATAATAAATAGAATATTTGCAGGAGCAATAATATCACGACAATCAATTGAACAATCTCCTGATGCACACATAATCCAACCAGTCAAGCACCATAGGTCTATAAAAACAAAGACAAATGAATGAAACAGTAAGCACATATTAAGTGAAGCCATGATGAATAATAAGAAACATTAGAATTAAAAACTGGAAATGTACTGAGTTCTGAATTCCTACTTCAAAATAAACAACCAACCGACAGGAAACTACGAATATGACAATATATTCTATGTTACCATAGTGTAGGTAGCTATTGAAATGAAATAGACACGATTATTTTCGGCAGTAATGAATAATAGATGGTACAAATAATGCACTTCGTGATATGTATCACTTGTACACAATCACTTTGTCAGTTGTTGAATAGAATAAATATGAACCTTAAAGCAAAACTACCGAAGTTAGGAAATTTCCTCTATGTTGCATACTGACCCACCTTTTCCGGGTAGAAGTGATAAAGTAGTACTTTGAGACACAGACTCGGTGACACGGCTCAAAATCCATCACAGGTGAGCATATACATTGACTCCTAATCACTTTCAAAATGTCGAATACCTTACTAAATATCTTACCCATTCTACCTCTCCTTATTTCCGTTTCGGCTGCTTTATTACTAATTTATTTCTGATCACTATCCATTTGTGAGGTTTCCAAGTTCGGCAATTAGAACTGACTTACTTTTGAGCAAGATTCTACAATGACCTCTGTCCATCTTTTTCAATCATAAAAAGTTATGAGTTAATTCGAACTCGGAAAATTGACTGTGCAAAAATGACAAGTATTCGATGAACTTCGGAACACAATGGCTTATTTCTCAACCCTTGCAATATTCAACCCATATCATAAGGCAGATCTTTTCAAGATTCATTAACATCCCAACCAAATATGTTCCTGTCCTAAAAAAGGACTGAACTTACGACTGAATCTTATCTCAGTGTGACAGTGAGGCAACTCAAACTGATATGCAGTTGTGCCATGTTCAATTTTAAGTCTGTATGACGTCTAGGTAGTAGGCTTCCAGTGGTAACCAAAATCAGTGATTGGAGACTCTAAGTTATATGGTTAAGAATCGATTCCAATTCTCAAACTAAATATCGCTAGCATTATACATCCATCCTCTTTTATTACGACTTCCTACTAATTCCTTCCTAATTTATCCCTTTTCCAGCTCGATGCACTCATATGAAGTGTGATGACTCGGATCGCTAACCAGTAATTCAAGTTCTATACTCATGTTCACTAACTGACAGAAAGTCTAGGTAAATAATGCGATTTATGTAACCATAGACACTACTCGAAAAAATACCATAATATCCTACAAACTAACGAAGTGCATTCTCAAATTATTGAAGAAATACGGCATGGATGTTTATTAAAACTTAGTTTTCGATTCTATGCGGCTTCCAAAAAACAAAATTAACCTAAAAACTTGCACACAAGAGTATCGATTTAAGTTGCCACACTTCATAGCAGTATGCAAAGAACAAGTGGATAAAATAAGACCAATATCAGCAACAAACTTGTTGGACAGAATAAACAATATGAAAACAAAAGGCTTCAGCAGATGTCAACGAGAGAACACATCTGCACCATTGTAACCGGTTTTCAGCCATTTCACCAAGAATATGCAACCACTGATTCTTATTATTTCGAAGACCCCAACCAGGTAGTCCATACATACAAACACGTCGATGTATGCGGTAGTTCGGCATGTGCAACACATATCCAAGGCGTATCAGTCGATGAAGGTTCACAACCTCATCGATCGACTCACTTGCCTAGTACCATTCGCCCAACCTCTACATCACTCACACAGTGATCCCACCAAACACGAGTAAAGCTATGAAGATACCTGTGATCAAACACTTGTAACCGCTTCATATCTTCTAATTATAACGCCCACATCTCACAGTCGTATAACAGGACACAACGAACTGCAATGCAATATACTCGTCCTTTCATAGATAGTCAGATATCTCGCCAGTCGGTAACAGAGATTAAGCAAGTTGACAAATGCTAAACGGATCTTGTGTATCCGAGCTGATATTTCGTCAGCAACCATCTTGTTTGGGCTGACGTAACTTCCCATGTAAGAGAAGTGTTTGACGCACTCCAACACTTCACTCCCTATCATTAAACTAGGAGTAGTTGCAGACCAGTCCTGCACAATCACTTTAATAAACCTCTTTGGAAAGCCTTTGATTCCTTCTTCGTTTGTCATATATCCCTTTCTTCTTTCTAAACAGTTCAACATCGGAGAGTACGTCAGTTTCATAATAACAAAAGCAAATCATTCGTAAAATGTCTAAATTCTTCAAATTCATTTACACACTACTTCCCATGTATAAATTGAAACAACTGTGAATCATAAAAGTTTTGGTCAATTCTGTCGCAGACATGTACACAAAATAAAGTCGACCAAACTAAATCAGAGATACATGAACTGGACTCCTGAGTGACACAGATTAGGCAAATAGAATATAGGCTACCTCCGTTAATCCCGGTGGTCCAACATACTGAAGTAAAAACCAGCCCATAAATGGAATAACCAGCTGCTGGTAGGTTTCCGTCCAGACTATAGGTATGTTGTTGCAGTGGTGCGAAAAATGCAACGACCAGATGTTAGTAGATTGTCATCCAATTTGTAGGCACGTTGTAGCGCAGGATGTGCTGAAGTTCATCGGTGGTTGTTCGCTCAGTTAGCACAAGGATCTGGAATGGGAAAAAGGAACATAAAAATGTCTTCGGCAATAAGGATAGTAGGTTAGTGATATATATAAATCCTTGCTAGTGGGATTACGGTAGAGAACCAACCTCATTTGGAAGTATCGACAGATGAGAACGCTGTGCTCCGGTGGAGAGCTCCCGTGGTTTGCAACTGTCCAAGAAACGCAATTCCGAATGTAGATGATTCGATCATGGTTTATCAACATCAAGACGATGTCCTCCAAAGTGAACAGTTTTAGAGGGGCGAATAAATAATTTAATTTAGAACGTAAATCACTATTTAAGGTACGATGAGATAAAATAAGATCACTCCTCATCTTACAATAAGGCAGTTGGAAAAGAACCAAATGACCTAGTCTTTTTTAGTCAAATCGATTCGACAGCCTTTTAACTATCTCGATTCCTACCCACTGGACCCACTCTAATATGTCAGCTTCATATATGAAACATGGGCTCTTTGTTCGAATCCCATATTCCGAATGGGGCCTTACGAAATTCAGATATAAGATTCCAAGAATGTTCTCACAAAACCTCTGAAAGACCTTTTGTAAGAACAACAAGAATCAGAAGCCTTCGCCAGCTGCCTCTCTGCAGTTAGTTGGTGTCTACCTTGAATGATAGCATATCGTTATTCAAGCAGTCATGTGGATTTTTATGACCTATTCGTATGACTACGCTCTTGGTGGTATTAATTCCTAGACTCCCTCTTGTAGACCAGTTAACTAGAGTATGTAGGCTTTGTAGCAGCAGCCGATATCTACGGACAACTCTCCAGAGTTCAAGGATGAGGAAGGAAGGCCTAGTTATCTTGGGGAGCCCAATCATCTCTTTCAATAATGAGATCTTTCAGACATAAGTAATCCGTCCCACATTCTTGTTTTCCCATAGCTGAAAGCCTATTCGTCTCCATATGCAATAGAACGGTACTACTATTTTTTCCTGAAAGCTCAGGCGAAACGAACTCAGTAACCACGTGCTAGTTCGCGCAGTAAGCAATACGCCACATCTATCGTGTGACTGACTACTCAAAACTTGGTAGGTGCAGAGATGTTAGAAACCGTGACTAACAGACTGAAAGTCAACTACCTAAACCAATGAACCACAGCCCCACGCTAACTGCAATATACGTAACCCAATCAACCATAACCTACCCTCCACACCATTTTATTCTCCTATGTCTTCAATTCCTGTTACTACTGTTAAACTTCTTACAACTTGCTCAACCTCTCACTCTGCGAGTGTTACTAATGATCTGTTGTGTCCGTAGACAAGAAATGAAAGTCACAACCAATTAGTTTCAACTGTCGTTCACATGTTTATTTTCTTTCTCATTCTTTCACATTCTGATTAGGCCGCACACGCTTTAACACCTTACAAACTTCCTATGTAATTTGCTGCATACAAATATTATTGCATTGTGTGGACTAACCATAGAAACTCATCTTCTCACTGAGTCAGCTGATGCGATGACAGTGGCCGTAGGATCAACTCGAGCATCTCCATCAACCAATCAAGCCAAAGATATAACAGTGGCGACATGCTAAACTCAGGGATATAACATGATCAAAGCCTGCAAAATACAATTTCTAGTCTCTAAAGATTTCGCTGTTGGTTCCACTTGGGAGCCGTTAACCTCCCTCCGAACTACACATCATCTCCCATAGAAGGCGTCTCTTACAAGAACTCCGGAATCGAAAACCGAAGATCTACGCCATGTTTCTGAGACACATAAACGGAATCATACCACAGTCATTCACTTGACCTCACCTCACTACTGTGGTGGATCAGCAAAAGTCATTTTACCAGTGCCCGAAGATTCAATGCATAGCTTTCATCGAGTCGGAGGCGTAGGCATGACATTAAGTTGTTGCGCAGAAACCCCAATTCCCGACTCGATAATACTCAACAACCGTCTGGGTGCTAAACAACTGAATCGATCTGTGGGAACTAAGAGGCATCGTGAGACTAGCCAATATGTATTCGATATCACAACCTACGCGCCCATCGACTGCAGTTCGGATGATTCAAAGGATGAATTCTCTCAGAACCCGTCAATTTTGCTACAGAAAGCAAAACCTTCAGATAAAATCATACCAGCAGGTGCCTTTAGCACAAAAACAGGAAAGCTGAGTCAATCGGAAAGGTTTCTTGTACATATCTATGGAGTCCCATGTCAACGAAACGACAACGGTGATCCTCTCTTGCAACTTGGTCCCGACAATCACTTGTTTCAGACCAGCACTAACTTCAAGCATATGAAAAGACACTGTCTCACATAGAGAGCACCAACATCGAACCAACGATGCACACTGGTAGATTATATTGCTACAAAACATCGTTGGAGACTTTTCGGTGAAGGATCATCGATCTTTCAGGACTACATGCTTGAACCCCAGTCACGTGTATATCTGAGCTTCGCTGATCACAGGAAATAGGCTGTAGTGAAGCTTGTCTGTGCTGCATTGGAAGATGAGAACATTAAGTACATATTTAGGGAGGAAATAGCTAAGTATTAGTCTGAACCTGATAACAGTCCTCATCCTAAGGGAACCTGTCGTGATATTAAGCCCGTTGTAGAAACAGTCACAAGTACAGCTGATAACCTGCATCCAAAAAGTAACAAACGTCTACCAAACTCATCGATGCGAGAAGAATCATCCCATCTAACCCTGATCACAATGAATAGTGAAAGTAGCTGAAACGTAGATTGTTCAAGTCTTCGCAACGATCGCAAGCAGTGGTGGGTGGTGAAAGCGAGATAGATGGAGAAAGCATCAGCATTAGGCGATTCTCATCTATTATTCAGGCGTATTAACGATATTGGCAAAACAAAAATAATGATGAGTGAGACCATCACCGACAAGGATGGGATGCTGATAGCCTCTCAAGACAGGTGACTACAACGTTGGGCGGAACACTTCGAAGCACAGCTCAACTCACCGAAAACAAAGTTGCTTCAGTCATACAGCGTCAACCCAAACCTGCATGAAATGTAGATGTCGGCCCTCTAACACTCTACGAAGCTGAGAAGGCAGTTTCACCATTTGAGAAGATGCAAAACACCAGGATTTGACGATTTGCCACCTCAAGTTTTCACAGAAGAAGGTAGAAGACTACTGAGGAGAGTAGCAAAGATACTAGCCAGCGTATGGAAATCAGAGGTAGTCCTGCCCAACTGGACTAATTCACTGATCACTATAGTCTATGAGAAGGCAGAGAATTCTCCTCACGACAGTCATACGGGGATTAGTTTAACTAATTCCATGTCCAAGATGCCCGAGTCCATAGTTATCTGAAGCCTACCTTGATATGGAGAACACAAAACTCGGGAAGACCATGAAGGTTCCAAACATGGACGAGGGTGCATCGATCATATCTCAACCTTTTGTCAGGTTATGGAACAATGACATACTTGCCGGCGGCCAACACTCGACATATTTCCATGCTTGAGGAAAGTAGTTTCCACTTCCGACCCTGAGATTTTTTGTCAGTGACTGTGAAGGAAGTATTCAGAAAGTACATAACGCTAATCAAAGCTCTCTACTCGAACTCATTCAGCTGCAAAAGGGCTCACTGAGAATTGTCATGTGAAGCGATGACAACTAGGGGTCTCCACTAAGGATGCCGCTGAAAATACCCCAGTATTTACTCTTATGTATTATTATTGTTATATTAATTGTCGAACAGACACCACTAATAATATCTACATCCTCGGGTGAGGCTGATGTAGCAAACTCAGTTTCTTCCCTGAAAAATATTATTCAATTTTCAACCATTGTACATTTTTGAGATATCTGTGTATATCAGGAATGGCTGAGAACATTCGACAAAATTTCTTCAAGCCTTGTACACTTCTTGCTGTTTTTGGTTTTCGGTTTGCTTGCAAAGTGCGCTTGAAAAAATATTGTCCTCAAACATACGTGTTCTAGCCTTCCCAATACACGTTACTGCTAATAGAATTACTAGAAACGGATACTAGACTACCGCATACACGAATTTAACGCATTCTCTCACGTCGCGGACTTACTAAAAACGATAATTGAGTTAAAGGAATAGGGTCTCTTCTGCAAGCAGCATCTCATGTCTTCACCCTAATTATTATTACTATTTATCCTTCAGGTTTCTAGTGAAAACATAGGGCTTCAGTAACACACCTCCATTGCACTCTCTTCTCTGCAGTCTTTTCAACCTGGGTCCACCACTGCCCACAACCTTTCATTCCTTCCTCACACCACCTCCTCCATGTCAACCTCACAATCCCAACTCGTCGTTTCCCCTATGGGTTCCACTCGAGTGCCTGACCTGGCATGTGATGTTTCCCAATGGTTTTCTCAGTGTATGCCAATCCATTTCCACTTTCTTCTGCATATTTCTTGGGCGATAGGTTCTTGATTGGTTGGTTTGTTGCCAGCCAGCCAGCCAACCAGCCAGAGTTCCTTGTTGCTGATTCTTATCATTCTGGCCATCCGATCTTCAGTATCGACTGAGCGTAGACGGCAGCTGTTGATGAATGTCTGTAGTTTGTTGGAAATGCTTTTCTTGACGTGCCAAGTCTCTCAATCATCACATGGAAGCACTGACTTGACTGACATTAGTGTTGAAAATCCGGATTTCGTTCTTTATGCTGAGTCCAGTGAAGTGCAGTGCAGTACTTCTGGAGGAATTCCATCTTGTCCTGCTGCTTTCCTGGCTTTCTGCAACTTTATGACATTCAGGACATTCACTTCTGCTTTTGTCGGAGGGCTTGCGTTCACTGATAGATTTCCACACTGATTTCAGATTAATGAAGGCCTGTCTTGCTTGCTTTTCTGATTTTGGCTTTGACGTCCCCATCTGTGCCTGTGCCTCCTGTAATTGAAACGATGCTGCCTAGGTAGGTGTAGGTGAAAGAGACAACTTCCTTTACATTCCTCCCGCTAATGGTGATTGGTGCCTCGTTGTTGTTGGTGATGGTGGTGGTTGGGTATCTTCATCACCTCTGCCTTCTCTGTGTTCACCTGAAGTCCCTTCTTCGCTGCCCCACATCACCTCTTCTGCCAACTTGTCAGTTTTCGCCTGTAGATCTTCGAGTTTCCGCGACAAGACATTTGACATGAATCATCATCGTCAGCGAAATCCAAATCTTCTTCTAGGTTCCTCTCATCGGTCAGGCCGGCGTATACCATCTTCCCGATCCTCACAGTTGTCTGTTGCATGATCCAGTCCAGGGTTAGGGTTAGGTAGCAATAGAAATCGACCAACATATGCTATCAGAAGAGCGTAAGCCTTTTTAATGCAGAAAGAGGAGAATAAACAATCCAGAGATCAAAACTACAAACTGACTGAATAAATTATAACGCGACCAACATACGTAACGCATAAATCACATATTGCGGCGTTATATTCGAAATGCAATATAATTTACTGCATATGTGCTAGCCCCTTCCACTTACATGCCACGTCAGTAGCCCGTGCGTAAAGAACTGACAATTGGTTATCTGTCAAGTCTAATTCTCGAGGCTTGTTTCTTTTTGTTCGATTGCCCCTGTAGTGGGTTAAGAAACTTATTCGGCTTTCCTGCTTTCAGCTCGAGTAAGACGAATGATTTCGGGGATTGATAACTGTAGTTCACTGACTAAGATGTTTTGGGAACTATGGGTTGCCGTAACTACTAGGGCCTTTTCGTTACCCTTGTCTATTTCGGTGCCTGAATAAGAATTGCAAGGTAGTGTTGGGAATTATCCAAAAGGTAAAAGTAGATAAGAATAATGATAACAGTTGCCTTATGCCAAACCATATTTTTTTGTACAGAATTCTCGGAGTGTGATAAAAACATAGGTTTACCACTGCACAACATTTTAAAAACATTAACAGTGGTGGCGTTTAACAGCACATGATAGATCAGGATTCAGATTTGTTGTTTTTCTGTGCTTGTACAACCCCCTTTCGAACGAGTCAATTGATAATGTGGACGCCACTTCTTCTGGGAGTGGGTTCAAGACGTTGATTATTCGACGCGAGAACCTGTACTCTGCAGAGATTATGTTCGTTCTTTGCCTTTGTAGTCTCCTACAGTGCCTTCTGAGGTGTTCCAACCTAGTGAGAAGGAAAAGAGAAGATAGATCAGGCCCGAAGTAATTTCTTAGGATCCTGTATTGCATGGTTAGGTCTCCTTTCTGTCTCCAATAGGAAAAAGTGAAGGGGTTCATCTCTCTAAGTATGTCTTCATGGGTGAGGCCAGTCATCGCAGGGTTCAAACGCGTGGCTGCTCCCTGAACTCTTTCCAGGTCTGCGTCACCTTATAATATGACTGTTGATTTGTTTAATGACTTCAGGGACATAATTACTGTTCGCTGTCGTAAAATCAGTTGATAAGACTATGTCTAACAGGATTTTTTCACACAGTGCACAAGATAAATAGTGTATGGTTGAATTTTTTATGAAGTTTTACATCTGTAGAGTTTAACATATTTGCTTTTTGTCTCCTCAGACGACAGACATGAATGGAGGCACAGATGCATAGGCTGCTGGCCATCAAATGAAATATCTTTAGCCGTAGTATGGAGTTCAGATGCCCATACACGGCTGCATTTATCAGCACTGTTAGTCGCGTACCACCTGCTCTACCGAAAGCACTCAAAATCCTGTGCAATACAAAGTAGTCTTTTTTCAGATCTCAGGAAGGAATAAAGGGTAACAATGGGTCATTAAAGGCGAAACACGGGGATTAACAAAGCTAAAGAGTAGAGGCCGAGTTATACCAGACAGTCTAGGTTTCCCAACACAAAGGGTCAAACGAAGGATTTTCCTGGAAATAAGTGAGATAGACTAAGAAAGATCAGAAGAAAAGCATAACCGGAAGTGGACCACGCTTGATACATTCTTCATAATAGAGCCATCTACAAGGCAAGGGTCACGGGACCGAAGTAATGTGCGAAGGCTTTTTTCACGTCTTACACTGAAATTAACTTCCGGTTCTTGGAGGGATTGAGTGTGAAGCTATATGAGGAAGACCAGACACCCATTTTGCTCAGAAGTTAGTAGACTGAGAACAATCTAGAGCGAAGATGGTTGTGTGATTGCTGCCAGGTCTTCAGAGTATTTAACAAAGTTAGCTTCAGTTGAGGTCGGTAAACCATACAAAAAAAGAGATTAGTAAAGGAGAGCAGCACCATCACGGACACTGGCGTCACTAAGAAGCGAAGCAGACCGCTTCACTCTGCGGTGGATATGCTGTCTTATCTCATAAAAACTTAACAATGAAGCCAGTTCGCAGTCCAGAGCTCAGTGTGAATTCTGGTTAG